GAGCACTCGTTGGCTGGAGGTTTCCATCCAAACAGACAGTAAAGGAAGGACAACAGCGGAAAACTTTGATACGACATGGCTGTGTCGATATCCACGTCCGAAAACGGTAATTTTTGACAGGGGAAATGAGTTCAATACCAGCGAGTTCAGAGAGATGTTAGCAAGCTACGGTATCAAGCCGAAAGCGATCTCGGCCAAGAATCCACAAGCGAACGCTATCTGTGAACGTGTACATTTGGTGCTGAATAATTGCATCAGATGCAACCCAGAGGCGGATTGGCGCAAAGTACTTCAGTATGCTGCATTTTCAGCACGTGCAAGCTACCACACTATTCTGGGAACTACTCCTGCAAACATGATATTTGGGCAAGATCTGATTACTCGCAAGCTTTATGAAGCAAATTGGAACTACTTGTGCAAGAAACGCTTTGATGCTATTCTACAAGAGAATGACCGTGCAAACTCTACCAGACTACAGCACTTCTACCAAGTAGGCGACCACGTGATGGTTCGCATTCCAGCCAAAGACAGAAAGAACAAACACCGGAATGTGGCTAACGGGCCATTCACCATCGTTGCGGTGCACGACAATGGCACTATTACCCTGGACCAAGGACCAACGCAGCAGCGAGTGAACATTCGTCGAGTGTTTCCGTGCTAATGAGCAGTCAGCATGGGGGCGAGTGACAAGGGCGTCGGCCTGAGGATGCTGACCGCCATTGCAGCTTGAGTTGAAGTTGCACTTTATTTTCTATTCTTTCTTTCTAGGCTCTTGTCCCAGTCGGAGACAAGACACGACACAAACTAACAGAAATACCAGTCTTGAATTAACCCTGTTTTAAAAGCCCCTCTGCGAGCCAAGGGCATATCAATATAGTGAACGGCACCGTCTACTTGTCGGTCTCCTAAGAAAACAAGACCAAAGGAGGTGAGCCCCCGAGTGTCCGTCCTATACGTGCAGTAACTCAGTTTTAACGCCAGTTGTTGTTACGCCTACAGCTTTGGTACTGGAGGTCAATGGCGAAGAGTACGTCAAGTATAACGAGTCTTACGGCGAAACAGTCGTGCCCCGGAAGCAGTCGAACACGATCCTGTCTGACCAATTGGAGCTGAGTGACAACCATGAGTCGTTTGCACCAGGAGAGTACGTCTTTCCTTTCAACTACCAGCTCCGTTCCACGCTGTCAGGGAGTTTTCACGTCGACTGTCGTCATGCTGGAGAGTTTTGCGACATCGACGCTGCTGTCAAGTACGAGCTGAAGCTGAGGTTACCTGTGAAGGGCGCGTTTAAATCCGACATCAAGACGAAGCGGCCACTTGTCGTAAAGCCTACGCAGACGGCGCAACTCGTCCAGCCACGGACAGATGCCACTGCTAAGCATGCAAAGCTCCTGGGCATGATTCGCCAAGGAAACTGCGAGGTCTCGGGATCTCTGGAACGCGACGTGTACGTCGCTGGTGAGACGTTGCAGATTCGAGCCTCGATCGTGAATGGCTCCAGTATGGACGTGAAGTCGGTGTCCGTGCGACTCGTGGAGAACCTTGTCGTCCACCCCAGCAAGAGCCACAAGAAAGAGATCAAAGCTCAGACGTGTCTAGCCAAAAAGGACTTTGCTGGTGTGAAGGCTGGGACAACTACGATCGACCAGGCCTACTCGCTGGATCTGGTTGGGCGCTCCGAGCGCTTTGCAGTTCTTCCTCCAATGTCCTCAAGTCTCGTCAACACAACTCACCACATCGAAGTCCGCTGCAAGTTCCTCATGAGCCCGAACGTGGACATTGAAATCCCTGTGAAAGGTTTGGCTCCTCTGGTGACGAATGTGGCGGCTGCATCGTCACAGCTCGTGGCAGATTACAAGACTAAGGCTCTGAGCTAACGTAGCCCAGTTACAAATTTTGTGGATTCGACTTCTACTGTAGACGGCTTAATGTTATTTTTCTCGTATAGTAGTGCTAGAAGGTGGGTGCTACATGTAGTGGCACTAACTTTCTTTTCAACACTAACGGATTTTTGTACCGCGTTTTTTCTCAAATATAATGTCTACATGTAGATTTGAGAATCTACTGGATCTGATCTACTGATCGTTACAGTATTTCAGCCTTCGACTTTCTCTTTCACTGTTACGGCAGTACCATGAAGAATGATCATTTAGATGCAGTGAGCTCCGATCTCAGGCTCTGTTCTGTATACGTCGGATCTCATTCCGGTTGTAACGGAGAAATACCTGCTTCTCGGCACGCTCGTTGTCGGTTCGGGTCCTCAGTGGACTCGTGACGATAGCTCCAGCCGAAACAACACTCTCTTGGCATGCATTGGTGGGTGCCCTGTCAAGCCAAACGCGAGCAAGTGCGGCGATCGACGGGAACTGCTTGCAGCCAACATCACGGTGCCACAGGCACGCACCAATGACCTGGACAAAAGCTTGTAGCCGCTTCGACACAGCACCACCACACCGACCCAGCAACAATTTCGTGCAGGAGCTGTCCTTGAACTGTTACAGCGCAACTAAGATCCAGTTCACGCGAAACTGCATCCACTGCTAGAGTTAACCATGGTGAGATTGGGCGAGGTATCGGGGTAGTGAAGGCAATTCATTCCCCAAATATTGTTTGACATTGAGGCATTTATTTAGGTACGAGTTAGACTCCTTGTCTGACATTTTCCGAAGTCTTGATTTTGCCCCTTTGTTTGATTGTGTGGCTCAAATCGCAGATCGCAATTCGCGCAGAACTTGTTAGACTTGTTGTCTTACGGCAAGGGAGAACCCTGATTGGGAGAAGCTGGAACAAACGGTTCGCGATATTCGAGACAACACTGTCTACCCCCGCTCAAGAACTATATCTATCAGAACTCTTATTGCCGCTTTCTCGCATGGTTGGTCCGGAACAAGTCGCCCCTGGTGCCACCTGTATTCGTGGAAGCTCTCGCCAATACCAGCACGCTCACTACCCAGCAGCTGAGGTCTCGTATTAAGGGGCTGATCACCCAGGACCGGCACCTCATGCCGCTTGAATTTGCAGCTCTCACAGCAAAAGACTTCGTCACCTGGCTCGTGACACTTGAGCGAAAGTACTGAGCTACTCTACTCTTAATACCCACAGAGCCAGTCTATTCAACCTCTTTCGCGACTACGGGTACACTATGAGCAAGCCATTAGAGTCGGAGTTTACGAACTACTTCAAGGGGCTCAAGCACAAACTTGCAAAGGATGCTGGTAACGGGGAGAGCGCAATCAAGACGGGGAAGGACCCGCTAATGTTCGACCTTTATTCATTTTTATGCGATAAGATGCTGGCTCACGAAAATAAGGAGATGATTTTTGCTCATGCGTACATGGTGATTGCCTGAAATTTGATGTGCCGTTCGTCTAATGCATTTGGCATTCGTCATTCACACATGGAGTGGAGGGGCGATGCTCTACATATTTACTTCGCTCATATTAAGAACGATCAAGGTGGCGATCGCCCTCGTGATCCCCGACATGTATATGCCAACCCACTGCAGCCAGGTATCTGCCCTATTGTTGCTCTCGGACTCTATTGGGCAGCTACGAATTCTGACGAAAGTGATCTCCTTTTCCCTGGAAACAACCAGTACGACAGATTCCGCAGGTGTTGGATCCGGTTATTAGATCAAGACGATGTGTCAGCCGAATTACAGCGCCAGGGCCTGAATTCCACCAAGCTAGGTACTCACTCAATGCGGAAGGGCGCAGCAACATTCTGTTCGTCGGGCTCAACAGCATGCCCATCGTCGACGGCAGTTCATTTGCGTGCTGGTTGGTTACTTGGTGGGGTACAGAATACTTATTTGAGATACGAGGCTGCTGGTGACATGCATGTTGGTCGAACTGTAGCTGGTTTGCCTACCGAGAGCTACCGATTTTCAGCTTTAGCGCCGCACTTCGAAACACGTGACGATTGTGTTAAAAATGGTGTGCGATTGATGTTTCCAGGTTTGCCAAACCGCCTCCAGTTTATTGCAGAGTATTGTTTGGCCTCTCTAGTTTATCTTTCAGCCTTTTTGAAGGCAACACTATCGCCGAAGCACCACATCTTTGATACCCCAATTTTCCAGGACGAGCGCCGGCTTTCGAATCTATTTTCACGAGTTAGAACAGGGGATGGTTGTACTGAATCACGCATACGCCCCACCGGTGTTCCTCCTCATGTATCGATACTCTGTGAAATGAAGTGGCTGAAGGATGCATTAGTTGACTCACTGACCAAAATCGAAGCAACCCGAGTCGACACGGTCCGCGATATTATTTCCGAGCTGGGAAAGAGAGATATTGGCGCGGGCACCGTGACGTATGACGGTCTTTACGCTGCAATCAAAACGTGCCTCCAGGATGCGGGTGTGGACAGCTTGGTACGCCAGTTGACTGGTTCTCAATCGCAGGGCACAACGGAAACCGAAGTCGTAGTCGACGGCAATGAGCAGCAGCCGTGTTTCTTTTGGGGTGGAAAGTTTCGCCGTGTTCCTGCTGATTTTATCATTCCCGACTGCTCCGTACGTCATATATGGGTGCTTTGGATGTGCGGAAATAAGGCCAAGAAGGTGCCACCACTTCGTGTTCTTGATGGCTGAGAT